ATAGTATCTAGAAAAATGAAACCGGAGAGGCTCTAACTCAAGACACCAAGAACAAAGAAAGGCAAGGTGAGGTACAAACTAAAATGAGATGATTTTGATGAAAATCTGGCTCCTAATGGCAAAGTGCCATCATCCCAAAAGTGCTTTTTCCCACCCTGAGTCCCACAGTGCTTATTTACACCAAGGAAAAGGCTACCACTCAGAAGAAAATGGAAGACCACAAATAAAAGGGTCTGCAAATACTACTGTCATTTGCCATAAGTTTTCCTACAGCGAAAGTATCACTCTTTAACACTCCAAGGTTCTACATTGTAAATTAGGTGACTAATCCAAAGACTTCATCATTCATTCAATATAAACAAATGGTTTTGCAAGATCTGAAGAGTAAATACTCAGGGAAAAACTATCCAGTGGTAACTTCTTCATTTAACCCAGGTCCTTTCCTAAAGATACAAAATCACTCAATTAACTGGCTTTCTCTACCACCTCACTACTGTTGACAACTGTGTCTGAGTATTTAGGACAGGCAAACCTTCGTCCAAAATGTTTGCTTCAAAGCTACGTGGACTTTTACTGGAACTCATCAGCTTAGACCCATTTAATTCCTGCATATGCTTTTGATGTTCTTTAAATCTGTACTCAACAGTTAAAAGTAGACATTTGAACTTGGTATTTCATTCATTTCATTCTCCTAGGCTCTACACTCAATCATGTTGGCCTGACAATTTTTGTCAAATTTTTCGTGAAAATATTTTCTCTTCACAATGGAAAGTGGAAAAAACTATTCCATGAAAAGCCTGTGGTCTAAATACAGTGTCAGAAATACATCTGAACCAACGATAATAGCTCTCTCCTCAATCCTTCATAACCCAGTGGACTTGGAGCAGTACCAGCATCTAACGCAGGTCATTATTTCTCTATATTATGATATTTAGCCCAATGAAGGTCGCCTATTTTCATGAATTTTTAAAAATGATTATTTGAGATAAGGCAGTAATTTCAGAAATTTTCCCCTATGATGACTTTCAAATGCATAGCACCTAAATAACTATCCATTAGTTAATCAGTGCTGGGTAAGTAAAGTATATTATTTTGAGTATAACTTGATGTCAAGTGTAAGACTACACAGAAGCAGATTCCCTTCGGGAGTGTTGAAACATGCGACCCACAGGCCACATGCAGCACAGGGTGGCTATGAATCTGGCCCAACACAAAATTGTAAATTTACTTAAAACATTATGAGATTTTTTTGTTATTATGTTTCACGGTGTATTAAATACACAATGTATTTAATGTGCGGCCCAAAACAACTCTTCTCCCAATGTGGCACAGAGACATCAAAAGGTGGGACACCCCTGCAAGACTGAAAACAAGGAAGTCTGTATTTTCAGATCCCCACTTGTGCAGATATACACCTTGCTAGGTGACCCACTTCCAGACTTAATTCATGCTGTTACCAATGATTATGTGAGGTAAAATGACATTAAAATATTTAAAAATTAAAAGTAAACATAAAATTAAAAAATTTAAGGTCTCATTTTTATATAAATAGATATTGTAACACTACTTATAAAGCTATATAAATGGTAGCAGAAATCATTATCATATTAAGCAAGGATACTTGCTTACTATATAAAAAGCAATTTCATTTCTCTTCACTGCCAATGAATGAATAATTGAAATTCTCAAAACATCATTTACAATAGCATTAAAATCCAGCACAAATTTCACAAAATACGTGTAAGATGTGTATAATGAAAACTACAAAACATTGTTGAGAACACTAAAAGAACACATCAATAAATATATATCATATTTATAGATTAGAAGACTCTATCTTGCTAAGATAAAAACTCTCCCTGAATTAATTTATAAAACCTGTAAATTTATGTATAAAATCAACATAAACTAATAAAAATTCCAGCAGGAATTTTCACGCTTTTTTTGTAGGAGTCAGTGGACCAATTCTAATACTGATATAGAAATGTAATAGACTTAGATAGGACAGCCATACCTACTTTAAACAAGAACAAAGGTGGATGATATATACCATTTCAAGATCTATTATAACTAACCAAGAAACTATGATATCACAACCGTAACTATTCAGATCAACAAAACAAAAAGATACATACATACAGGGGGTGAGCAAAAATTTGTTTATAGCTGTATGAGAAACAGTTTATTCTTGTATTATTATTTATTAATTATTGTCTTATTTATTTGTCATTATTATTTTGTAATCTTACTTATGCTTTATTTTTTAGGTAAAGATGGCTGGCAATTTTGCCTACCCTTGTAAACAGTTAATTTATTTTTGACAAAAGTATCAAGGAAAGTCAATGGGGAAAAGATAAGTCTTAGATAAATCATTCTAGAACATGTAACATACCAAAACATGTATATGCGTATAGATATGTATTTACATATGTGTATATGTATATATGTACACATCACATACATAGTAACCACTAAATCTTATCTTTCATCATTTACAAAAAAAAATTAACTTGAATTGAAGCAGTGGCCATAAAAGCTAAAACTATAAAAACACAAGAGAAAACCTTCATGACCTTCCAGTAGACTGACTTCTTAAATCAAACACAGAAGTCTGAACCATAAAAAACAAAAAGTAATAAACTAGTAAACTGTTAACAGCTCCTGGTTGCAAAAACAGACATTAATAAAAAAAATGAAAAAAAAAAAGCTAAAGATTAAGGAAAATATTCCCAATATAAATAAATACCTGACAAACTCTTAAACCTAGAAAACTATTCTTGTTCCTTAAGGAACTCTTACAACTCAAGAAAAAGATACATAAACTTTAAAAACTGGCAAAAGATTTTAAACACTTCACAGAAAATACACAAATGAGTAGTAAGCACATAACAAGATGTGGGAAGTCTTTAGTAATCATGAAAATTCAAGTTAAATCACAATGAGATTTCCGTTAGAAATCCGTTAGAATAGTAAGATAAAAAAGACTGACACTGACTACTAGGTGTTAGTGCGGCTTAAGGAGAAACAGAAACTGACACACACAGTAGGGCAGAAATACGTAACCACTTAAAAAAAGCCTGGCCACACCAAGCACTGGCAACAATATAGGAAACTGGAACCCTTGAGCACTGGGGGAGAAAGTTTTAAATGGTACAGCTGCTGTGGAAAAGACTATGGTGTCTCCTCAAAACATTAAAAATAGAACCACCATACAATCCAACAATTCTGCTCCTGGATATATACCCAAAATAATTGAAAGCAGAGTCCCAAAGAGATATTTGTACATCCATGTTCATATTTACAGCAGCTTTATTCACAGTAGTAAATGTGGGAGTAATTCAAGTGTCCATTGACTGATGAATGCATAAGCAAATATGGTATATACAAGGAATATTATTCAGTCTTAATAAGGAAGTAAATTCTGACATTTTGCTATTAACATAGTGAACCTTCAACTCATTATGCTAAGTAGTATGTTTGTCACACACACACAAAAAAACTAATCCTGTATGACTGCACTTATCTCGGGTAGTTAAGAGTAGTCAAATCAGACAGAAAGTATAATGGTGGCTGCCAAAAGCAGGGGGAGGGGAGAATAGGGTAGTTACTGTTTAATGGATGGAGAGGTTCAAGTTCTACAACTGTAGTTACAAAGATGGACAGTGGTGATGACGGTACAACATTAGGAATCTATTTAATACCAATGATCTGTATACTTAAAATGGTTAAGTGGGTACATTTTATGTTATGTGTGTTTTATAATTTTTTATTATTAAAAACAATGAGAAAAATTTTAACACAGTTGATAGCTTTTCTTACTCTTCCCACAGCATGTTGGACTTATTTCTACCATAGTACTTATAATACTAATTTGAAATCGCCTAACTTCTCTCTCCCTTAAAAGAGTACTGTGAGCTTGTCAAAGCCAGTGCTTCCAGGGTCCAGTGGAGAAAGGCCTGTTCTTGGATAAGCAGGAGGCAGTGGAATGTGGGCTGAGATACCAGGCTCTGAAGTTAGGTTGCTGGCATTGGTATACCAACTCTAACATTCACTAGCTATGCAAATGTGAGCAAGTCACTAAAGCTCTCTGACCCTCAGATTTCTCATATATGAAATAAACACATGAATAATCTCATTGTGGTGATTTAAAATAACAGATGAAATGTATATTACTGTTAAATATAGTATTATTAAAACCACTCAACAAATTTTGCTGAACCCAACTGAAAAAAACTCTTCACTGTTTAACATTAAATTAACCCATCATAGTTAAATTTAATAAAGCTACTGAAAAATCTCTCCAATCTATACATCAAAACAAAAGGTGGTTTCTCTAATTACATCAGCCTAATTCTGGAAAATCATATGTATTCTAGAATTTGTACTTCCTTATTCTGGATTTCCTTGAAGTAGAAATAGTTATATTTGTTTCAGCCCCAAAACCAAAAAAATTTCACAAATTGCCTATATTTTATATATTTAACAGCCTCTTAAAACATAAAAACCACATTTTAATATAATGCATATAGTCTCAAGTAACCAACTTACTTAAGAACCTATTATATACTTATTAGAGTGGTTGGTTTCAGTTACAGTATTTTTTAAATAAGCTCTGGGGAAAAAGGTAATTTCCCCAATAATGACACTGACAACTCATTGCATGGAATTAAGAACAAGTTAGTTAAAGAAATGAAACAAAAACAGTACATGATTGTATGTCTCTGTTTCATTTAATGTATGGCTGCAGCCATGCATTCATTTCCATCTGTGTATTACTAAGCAGGATAAAACTGCCTATTTTCAGAAGAAAGTATAAGTTTCAACTGCCATTTACAGATTCTTTTTCTTCTCCCAAATCATTGGTACAACGTAAGTTAATAAAATTTAAAATATAAAAGTTTTAATATAGTAAGACTTTTAAGGAATTATTATTTCACCAAATTAGTTCCAATCTTTATATGGATGAAGACTGCCTTCAATTTAAATAAATTGATTCTTACCTCCTGATTAAATTTATGTGCCATCTCACTAAGAAGTGAAGAAAAGAAACTAGTGTTTTGTAGTAGGACTCGACCCATTACTCCGAGATACGTTGACATCACTACAGGATATCTCTGTACAATTAAAATATAGCACATGTAAAATTGTGTTAAGGTACAGTACAAATCATTATAAAAAATCACTGGCATAGTAACGATCAACAGAGACATGAGAAAACAATATCCTTCTTCGTACTGCTTCTTTAGGATGAACTGTCCATATCGCCTGACTCTTTTACTAAATATATATGCCATATAAGGTAATATATATATATATATATATATATATATGTATAAGATATGTATGTATATATGTGTGTGTGTATATATATATATTATAAAGAGAGAACAGAAAAAGCATATTATTGATGTTGTATTTATATATTCATATTACTTTAAATGCTCTTAACATACATAGTTACATGGATCTATTTAAGTTCTGGACTTAGAACATAACCGGTGTTTTCATATATTCAATATGTAATAAAACTAGCACTTTTTTTTTTTTGCCATTCCTCTGCTTCAAATCTTTGTGTGTGAATATACATGCATATGCATGAGAGATGAGACAGCTAAGGAAATCTATCCTTCTTGTGGAAAAATAAAAAACTATGAATATGTGAAATTTACATAATTTACTTCAAAATAATCAAATATGTTTAAAAAACTCTCCTTTTACATAAGACAATGAAGAAATAATTTCCCAATGAAGAGGGAAAATAATTAAAACTATAAAACCCTAGAGTCTAATACCGTCCTTAGAAGCTTAATAAAAATCTTACCTCCCCCTCTATAATACCTCTGAAAACACAGGGTAGAATTGGTTGAAACATCTGTGGGCCTAATACGGGGTTCACCTTAAGGGCATTTTCCACAACCTAGAAATCAGAAAGACACATTGGTAACAATTAATAACACAAGTCATTACTTCATGCAAAACACAGTTAAAGAAAACAATGTATTTAACATTACATGCCAAATCCAAGATATAAGAGTACATGCGGTTAAGTATTTGATATTCTGGTTCTGACACCAGAACTTTTACAAGATAATCCATTAAAAATGCAACGATATAAAATGTATAATATTCAGACAGAGTTCAACACCTTACATAGAATTACAATTAACCCCATTTTGCTAACATAGCCATCATGTTGTTAATGAATTGTTTTTCTTTAAGCCTCACTGGAGGAAAAGTTTTTTAAAAAATTGATTTTAGAGAGAGAAACACTGATATGAGAGAGAAAACACTAATCGACTGCCACCCTGACTAGAGACTGAACCCCCCAGCTTAGGTACGTGCCCTGATAGGGAACTGAACCTGCAACTTTTGGTGTATGAGACGATGCTCCAACCACTGAACAAACCTGGCCAGGGCATTAATGGAATTCTTATCTTTGCATTTTAAGCAAATAACCCTCATAAGATGTTGCAATAGAAGCAGCAAAAGGCATTTGGAAAGTACTGGCTTATAATAGTGAAAAGGAAGTTAGTAGCAACTGTATACAATATCTAAAAATAAATCTACATTTATCAATAAACTGGTCAGAAAAGGGCATGTTGTATATATATACTGAATATTTATTAAATAAGAAATAATCTTATTTCATTTATATTGTAATCATATAGATTATGAACCATGAGCATTGATTGTTACAGGTAGCATTTATGAACTATAAATTACTTTTATACAATCAAGATAGGTTCCCTCTTAACAAAGGTAGCAGAAAATTCAATGAGGTGTGATTTTCTGTTTGCCTACCTTTGTTTCATTTTTTAGGGAGTAAGGAAGGCAGTGAGTGGTTGGGAAGCAGCAATGAGGACAAAGAAAGATGTAGCAGGCTTCCAGTCCCTCTGCTCAAGGAGGAGGAAGAAAAACACACCATTTGAGAGACTTGTGGCAAGTACCATGTCTCAAGGCAGAGCCAGGTTTCCCTTTAAATTTCAAGCAATAATTCTCAAAATTGGCTACTGGTATTCTAAGTGGGACAACTGTTTACTGTGTAGGACTTTTCCATGCATTGAGGGGCCTTCAGGACCTTCAGTCTGTACTACAGGCCAATAGCATGCTCCAAACACAAAGGCAATGAAACACACCCCCATGCATTTCAAAGCATTAAGGTAATCAGAGAGTATCCATAAATAACAATGCTTTCTAATATAGAGCAAGAAGTAAAGGAATATCTAAAGACAAGCTTCAAAATACAAAAATTTTATAGAGGCCCAAACATTATACTATCCTCTAAGAGACACAGAATAAAAGATATCACAGTTCCTGATAAAAAGCAACAGGAGATTCAGAACATAATTAAACCTGACCCCAATAAGGCTTATTTTGTTTAAAAAACTGAATTTGGAATAAAGATGGGGAAGGCACGTAGTAAAAGTGGGAATATAGACAAGCTCGTGGACTGAGAGCTTCAGAGGTAAACAAGCTATTTTATCTGTCAATGAAAAGAAAGGCCATCTGCTGATTGTTAGACACACATTTAACTTCACTCCCTCTTGAACACCACTAAAATTGCATGAAAAGTATTTAGAAAGGAAGGGGACAATTTTAAGAGAACAAAGACAATGGGAGTCAGATATTAAAACCTACAAAGAAGAAATTCAAAAGGCACTGGAAGAGACTTCTTTGGGAAAACTAAAGTGATAAAGTACCTGATGGGCCATTACATCTGAACATACTGAGCAGGGACAATGGACAGAGAATTCAGTGTGCATAAAATGTGATCCATCACATACACAAAAAGAAGGATAAAAACCACATCACCGTATCAATAGGTGCTGAAATTGCACCTGATAAAACCCAGCACTCGTTTATGATAAAAACTTTCAGCAAAGTGGGAATAAAGGGAACATACCTAAACATAACAAAGACCATATATGACAAACCCACTGCCACCATCATACTCAACAGGCAGAAACTACAAGCGTTCCCTTGAGATTGGGAACAAAACAAGGATGTCCACTTTCACCTCTTTTACTCAGTATAGTTCTAAACACAGCAATCTGACAAGAGGAAGAAATAAAAGGCAAACAAATTGAAAAGCAAGAAGTAAAACTATCATTACTTGCAGATGACTTTATAGTGTACATAAAGAACTCCAAAGATTCTACCAAGAAACTACTAAAGCTGATAAATGAATTCAATAAAAAATTAATATCCAGAAATCAGTTGCATTTTTATATGCCAATAATGAACTATCAAAAAGGGAACTTAAGAAAACAAGCCCACTCACAATTGCTTCAAAAAGAATAAAACATCTAGAAATAAATCTAACCAAGGATATGAAAGACTTGTACTCAGAAAAATGTAAGACACTAAAGAAAGAAGTTGAAGATACAAGTAAGTGGAAGCACATACCATGTTCAAGGATAGGAAGAATTAGCATCATTAAGATGTCCGTACTACCCAAGGCAATCTATAGATTCAACGTAACTGCTATCAAGATACCAATGACTTATTTGACAGAACTGTAACACATTTCAAAAATGTATATGGAACCACAAAAAAACCTGCATAGCAACAACTATCCTCAGAAAGAAGAACAAAGTTGGAGGAATCATGCTACGTAATAACGAACTACAAGGCCATAGTAATCAAAAGAGCATGGTACTGGCATAAAAACAGACACACAAATCAATGGAACAGAATGAAGAGCCTAGAAATAAACCCACACTTTTATAGTCAATATTTGACAGAGGAAGCAAGCACATACAATGGACTAAAGACAGTTTATTCAATACATGGTGTTGGAAAAATTAGACATATATGTGTAGAAAAATGAAATTAGACAGCCTTCTTATACCACACACAAGACTAAACTGAAAATAGCTTAAAGACTTAAATGTTAGCCATAAAACCATAAAAACCCTGGGAAAAAAACACAGGCAGTAAAATCTTGGACACTGCTCACAGCAATATTTTATCTCATATACGTCCTCTGGCAAGGGAAACAAAAGAAAAAAATAGACAAACAGGACTACATCAAACTAAAAAAGGTTTTGCACAGAAAGGAAACCATTAACAAAATAAAAAGACATCCCTGTAAATGTGAGAACATATTTCTCAATACAGCTGATAAGGGGTTAATATACAAAATTTATAAAGAATTTATAAGACTCAACACCAAAAATACAACCAAATTAAAAAATTGGCAAAGGACCGAGATATATTTCTCCAAAGAGGACAGACATACAGAAGGCCAATAGGCACATGAAATGATGTTCAATGTCACTAATCATCAGAGAAATGCAAATTAAAACCACAATGAGCTATCATCTCACACCTGTCAGAATGGCTATCATCAATAAATCAACAAACAACATGTGCTGGTGAGGGTGTGGAGAAAATAGAGTCCTTCTGCACTGTTGGTGGGAATGCAGATTGGTGCAGCCATTGTGGAATGCAGTAGGAAGAAGATTCCTCAGAAAATTAAAAATGGAACCACCTTATGACCCAGTGATTCTACTTCTGGCAATTTATCCAAAGAAACCCAAAACACTAATCCAAAAGAACACAAGCACCCCTGTGTTCACTGCAGTGTTATTTACAATTGCCAAGATTTGGAAGCAGCCCAAGTGTCATCAGTAGATGAGTGGATAAAACAACTATGGGACATTTACACGATGGAATATTCTGTGGATATAAAAAGAAAACTTTACCCTTTGAGACAGTATGAATGACCCTGGAGAACACTATGCTAAGTGAAATAAGCCAGTCAGAGAAAGACTAATACCATATGATTTCACCCAATGTGAAGTCTAATGAACAAACTGAACCAACAAGCAAAACTGAGACGGACTCAGGCAGAGAGCAGGCTGACAGCCCTACGGGAAGGGATTAGGGGGTGAAGAGATTGAGGAAACAGGACTCCTGGACATGGACAACAGGGTGGTGATCACTGCGGGGAGAAGCTTGTACGAGGGGGATAACTGGTAATGGGAAAAGCTACAATAAAAATACATTTCAAAAGTAAGTAAAAAGCAACCCCCCCCCCAAAATGACACTAAGCCTTGATAGGTGTCACACAGCTGTTTGGGTGTCATCCAGCAAAGTGTAAAATTCACCCGCTGGATGAATCAGGACACATGCCTGGCGTGCCATGAGGTCCCCGGTAGGGAAGTACACAGGAGAAGCAACCAGTCAATGCTCATCACAGTGATGTTTCTCTCCCTTTTTCTTTCTCCCTTTCCTCCTCTCTAAAAATAACTAAAATCTTTTATAACATTTTTAAAATCACTAACTCTAAGGATTACAAAAGTGTGTGTAGAAAAGAAATAATTGTTTACATCATTATGACTTTTAGAATATTCATTTAAATGTTATCTGTCATTCAATATAAATAAGCTGTCACTTTGTATATTCTTTATAAAGGTATAGTTACTATTTGTTAAAATATTTATTTTACTTTTTAAATATATTTTATTTATTATGCTATTACAGCTGTCCCAATTTTCTCCCCTGTTCCCCTCCGCCAGGTACCCCTAATTCCCTCCATGAACCCCCCGACCTTAGCTCATGTCCATGGGTCTGGCATTTAAGTTCTTTAGCTTCTCCATTTCCTATACTATTCTTAACATCCCTATTTACTTTGTACCTACCATTTATGCTTCTTAGTCCCTGCACCTTTCCCCCATTCTCCCATTTCTCCCTCCCAGCTGATAACCCTCCAAGTGATCTCCAATATCTATGATTCTATTCCTGTTATGCTTCTTTGCTTAGTTTGTTTTTTTCTGATTCAGTTGTTGATAGTTGTCAATTTGTTACCATTTTAATATTGATAGGTTTGATCTTCTTTTTCTTAAATTAAGTCCCTTTAACATTTCATATAATAAGACCTTAGTGATGATGAACTCCTTTAGCTTTACCTTG